GCAGCCACAAGCCTCATTTTCTCCCACAGATGGACACTAGGATTATGCTGCACATCCTGAAACCCACCTTGAGCTTCTCGAAGGGCCCTTGCGGGCCAGAAGCTGAGAGTTCATTCAGGCGTGACCTGCAGCGCTATGAACACGTCCAGTGGGTCACACTCACTGAGTTCAGTTCAAGATGAAGTGTTTGTTATCCAGGATATGGGGTTGACGTTTTGAGCTTGTTTGAAGTTTCCTAGTTTGGACTCTGAGAGCATCTCACATTAGAGCAAATGTGCTCCACAGCTCTGTGGGCTTCATTGACCTCTGACTGTCACAGGAGCTGGGACTCCAGACACACATGTAGTCCCAAATTTGGGACACTGAATTCAGCTGAATCCAGGGAAACCCAGAAGCTGGATTCTTGGGGTATTTCCTCAGCACTTTGACAAGCTGTGAGTCCTTTTATAGTGTCCCACTTCGTGTACTTTAAAAGTCCAATTCATTTTTGGCCTCAGCCATGATCCACTTCATTCTCAAGGTTGAGATTAATGTATGAAATCTGTTTACATGGAGCTAAAAGCTGCTCTGGCCAGTGAAGCGCAAACACGCAGATGTGGAGGTGTCAACAGAGGATTTTGTGGTCTTAGACATGGTCATAACATCGGCCCATGTCCCATTCCAAAGATAAAGCAAACTTTCCCAATGAATCCTTCTTAAGATCGCCCCACTCATGCTGATTTTACTGCAAAGTTCCCAAGGTGCAGAACCAGAGGAGGTGGATGGTTGCTACTGAAGACAATAAAAAGAAAGAAGTATCTGAGTGGTATCATCAGAGAATCATGGATCTGACCCAGTTTGTCACCTCCCTTAACTTCATAGTTAGGGCCCATTTTTAATGTCTTGCACAGCAGAGGATGTTTTACAGTAGAAAGCTGTGCTGCTGCAGCACCTTCAGGGAAGACAAACCCTGTGAAATCAGTGAACACAAAACCAGCTGGATCCATTGCAGGGCCAGTTCCTGGCTGGCCAGTTCAGCAGAATGGCTTAAAGAGGAGATTGGTACAAAACAAATATTGACCAGAATAAGATGCACGTGAGGCAGCATCTGGACATCATTTACTTTCACATCACCAGAGCTCCTGTGTTTAGCAGGCTGCGAAGGCACTGCTGAGAAGTTCCCAGTTTACACGTTTTGCTGGCACAAGGGAATTGTGTGGTGGCAAATGGAGGCGCAGGGCTGAGCAAATGCAGATAAGAGACAGGATGGACAGGTGGGAAGCACTTGCAGCAGAACTGGTTTGTACATTATTGCTCTGGGCGCCGATGATGGAAAGTCAAACAGAGAGGAGCAAACAGTGGTGCTGGGGACACGCATGGTCCTGTCAATGATTAAATGAAGGTGGGAATCGCTGTGGCCTGGGGACAGCTGGAGCAGAGCTGGGCTCAGGGGAGCTGCAGCAATGGTGGATGCTAAAGAGAATTCCTCATCCTGCATTTCCCAGAGCAGAGTCCTGGGTGACCTCAAGGTCCTTTCCAACCCTCGCTGATTCCTAGACTAATAATGTAATAATTGAGTGGGACAGAAACAGGAGCAGCCCAAGCTGGTGCCTCCAGGGAGGGACCCAGAGCAAAGAAATTCCTGGATTTTATATGTTGATGTTCCATGAGCCCAGCCATCACACGTTGATCATAAGCCTTGCATTTGTCTCTTGGTCCAATGGTGAAATTTTGTCTGGGGTGTCCTCATTTATAGAATCAGAGAAGGGTTTGGATTGGAAGCCACCTCAAAACCACTCCAGTCCCCAACCCCTGCCCCGGGCAGGAATCCCTTCCGCTAGAGCAGGTTGCTCCAAGCCCCTGTGTCCAACCTGGCCTTGAACACTGCCAGGGATGGGGCAGCCACAGCTTCTCTGGGCACCCTGTGCCAGTGCCTCAGCACCCTCACAGGGAAGAGCTTCTGCCTTATGTCTAACCCAACTCTGCCTTTTTTCAGTTTGAACCCATTCCCCCTTGTCCTGTCACTACAGAAGATGAAGAGGGGGGAACCCATCATTAAGTGCTTTTCATTGTCTGGATGTAAATTCCTTCTTATCTGTCAGTTCCTTCTTATCTCTCTGGTTTGTTGCTCCCTGCAGAGGGAAGTATCTAGATCCTTTATCTTCCAGTTTGCCCTGGTCTCAAAGCCTTCACTTGCATAACTAAGCCCAGGTTGTAAATTAAGTTCAGCTTTATCTAGGTGGCACTTGGCTGCTTTCAGCCCAAGGCTCCAGCAACTTCAGCTCCCCATGCTCAGCTCTGCTCATTGCTGAACATAACCACCCAGCCAAAATAAGCTGTTAGAGGATTCAGCTGACTCAGTTTGAGTCACAACAGCCAATGCCTGCACGCCTCAAGGCAGCACATTTCATACTGGAACCTGAATCAAGAGGCTGCGTGGTATCTGGCCATGTTACCCTGTAATGTGAGTGAGGTGCTTTTAGGATAGATAAAAACTAATAATGGAATTAACCGGGTTGGAAAAGACCTTTAAGGCCACAGAGCCCAACCATTCCCAGCAGTGTCAAGGCCACCACTAACCCCTGGCACTGAGGGCCTTGTCTACATGGGGTGTGAATGCTTCCAGGGACAGTGACTCCAGCACTGCCCTGGGCAGCCTGTTCACAGCAGGGCTATTTAAAGACAACAGACTCACCTTCCTCAGCATTGGCCAGTGAGTCCCACATGTTCTTCTCTCGTTGAAGCTCTCCTGCTTTTGTATTTTGCATATCCTACAGACTTACTCCTTTAACAAGTTCTGCACACAAATGCTCTGAGCCTGGTTCTGCAAAGTGTGAGCTGCCCACACAGACTCCAACATGTATCTGCAAGTCATTTCTTACTTGATTCTTGTGTGTAATTAGTGACCAACATTTTACAGCCACCAACTGTGACAGTGTGAGGTGTCTGTGGTTTCTTTAAGTGTCTGAGGTTATTGCTATTCTGTATAAAAGCCAGATGACAGCTCCAAAGCCTTTTTATGCAGATCAGTGAACAACATCCTCCTATACTCACAATATGCCCTGCAGATAAGTATATATGTAAATACAGCTAAAGACTACCTTGTGAAGAGACTGTAACGATGGTCCTCAGCTTCTTACGCCTTACTGGCAGATTGAAGCTGCCCCACACTTCAAGCAGGCACTAGATGGACATACACAGATTCCCTGCCTCCAGACATCTCCTTTATGAACCCTTGGAAGAACACAGGAGAGACTTTTGGCAGCTTCCCAGCCATGGGGGATGGTGTCTGCATGTTGAACACTCACATTTGCCATGCAGCCACCTTCATCCACCTCTGTTTTTGCATCTTTCTCCTGCAGGCACCAGTCCCTCCCCAGCATCTGGCTAACACGATGCTTTGCAGCATGCGCAGCAGCACCCATGGGCTCTTGCTGGTTTTGGTGCTTGGCACCTCCCAGTGAGCACACTGAAGGGACTCTGGAAGAGACAGAGTGTGATAACAAAGAAAAACCTAGGTACCTTCCCCATAACTTTCATGCCAGAAGAAAAGCACCAAATCACCTGTGTCCCATTCATGGAACTGATCATTGCCATTTGGATTCTCCACAGCAGCACTGAGCACAGCGGGAGAACACTGACCAAAGCAGCTTTTGGAGCTGTCTGGGGTGGGTGGGGACCAAATGAAAAGCCAAAGAGAGACACCATTTTTTCCCCCACCAAAGCTCCCCAGCGCATCCTGGCAGCGTCCAGCACCTCCGGGTTTGCTGGAACCTGCTGATAAATGGCCAGAACATCCCAGGCTCCAGCCCTGACCCTGTAGCTCTTTGCATGGCTGGACACTGACCCTGCCAAGTGCCTGCACTGAAATCAGTGGTTTCCTCTGCCTGCATCCCCCCCCAGCACAAGCACTGCTTGCAGCATCACTGCAGCACTCTCCCTTCTGTGAGATGTGGCTGCAAGCTCATGGTTTGTCTTTCTCCTTTTCACCCTGCTTCTTGATCACTCAGCTACTGGGAAGAGGCAAAGGCTGGGCTGAGTAGCCCACAGGAGGAGATCAGCCCACTGAAGGTACTGATCTGGGAGCAGAAAGGAGCAAATGGTTTGGCAGCACCCTGCAGGCACAACCAGGTCACAGGGATTTGGCTTTACACAATGACAAAGGTGGTTGATCAGCAGGTAGGTTGCTTTGGGATGCGGTGGAGGCTCCTCTGATGACAGCCTGATGCTGTCACTTACACATCTTGTGTGCCCCTAAGGAAATGTGGCAATATACAAAGAGCACTTTGGATGTCATTGCATCCCACTGCACCTTGTACCTCCACTGCAGCCCCGCCCATCCTCATCTGGAACATAACCTGGGAGGTGGGGAGAGACTCCCACGTTGTTTCCAGAAGGGTTTTAGGCAGAGAATTTGATATAATGAGACAGCAAAACCCAAACACTCCCCTTGCAGGCCCTGCAATGAGACCTGGCTCATTTCTCTGGGTTTGTGTCCTTAGGTTACAGTCCATGGGCCATTAGCTCCTGTCTCTGTAGCTGCAAAGATGTGAATCACATTATTTGTGTAATGAAAGCCTCATCACGTAACTGGGAACTGTTTCATACCATGGGTTGACATGGGGATATCGTAATTAAAAGCACAAGTCTGGCAACACTGTTTGTGTTCCTTCAGAGACCAGAGCTGCTGCTCCAGCAGTGGATTTCTTGGCAAAGCCTGCTCTCAGCAGCCTTCTCTCTCCCCACCTGTGGGGACAACAGCTTCCCACATGGCCACACCAGCCCTGCAGGCTTTCCGAGAGGTGGGGCATCCCAAAAGGGGAAAAGTGGCAATTGCCATAAGCCACCCCTCCATGGAGAGGAAAAGGGATGTATTGCAGGAGAAGTGACAGGTTTCTCCTGGGAAGTGAAGGAGAATGAGTGACTTTCTCCAGGCGATGATACTGCCCATGAGCAGCCAGTCTGGGGAGGAAAGGAAGAAGGAGACTGGCTTTGGGGCACTGCTTTGGTCCACTCTGGGGCTAGATCCGCTGCTGGGTCCCTCTCCGGCAGAGCAGGACAAAGATCCTCCTGCAGATCTGCTTGGTTTTCCAGCTGTAGATGAGTGGGTTCAGGACAGGAGACACCAGGAGATAAGCATCAGCCAGGAGGGTGTGAATGAGGTGGGGAAGGTGCTTCCCAAACCTGTGGTTGATGGACAAGCCAATGAGCGGGATGTAGAAGATTAGGACAGCACGGAGGTGGGAGATGCACGCGCTAAAGGCTTTGGCTCGTGCTTCCCGGGAGACAATGCTCAGGATAGCCCTGAGGATCATCACATAAGACAGGAGGATGGTCAGGGAGTCCAGGCCCTTGGTCAGTATCACCGCAGTCAGCCCATACAAGCTGTTGACCCGGACATCCCCACACACCAGCCTCAGCATGTCCTGGTGCAGGCAGAAGGAGTGAGACAGGACACGGGACCTGCAGAAAGGCATCTTCTGAATCAGGACAGCAACAGGGAGCACCACGCAGATGCCCCGCATGAAGATCACCCCCCCGTCTTCACTATCAGGGAGCTTGTCAGGACAGAGGCGTAGAGCAAAGGGTAGCAAATAACCACAAAGCGGTCAAAAGCCATGGCCACCAGGACCCCCGACTCGATGGCAGAGAAGCAGTGGATGAAGTACATCTGCACAACACATGTCTTGAAACAGAGGGAGGTGGACTCAGACCAGAAAATGGCCAGCATGGTGGGCAGGGTGGAGAGAGACAAGCCCAGGTCTGCCATGGACAGCATGGAGAGCAGGTAGTACATGGGTGTATGGAGGCTGTGGTCTGTCTTTATCATCCAGAGCAAGGTGCAGTTCCCCAGGAGCATGAGGAGGTACAGGCAGCAGAGAGGCAATGCCATCCAATAGCTGCTCACTGGCAGACCGGGAATGCCGGTGAGGATGAAGGTCAGGGGACTGGGCCCAGTCCCATTGGAAGATGACATCTCAAGCACAGATGGTATGAGGGGCTGGAAATAAGCATCATGCAATAAAAGCCCTGCCATGAGACACCCCATTTACACCACCTGCAACAGCGCTGGAAGGACAGGCTCCAAGAGCCAAAACCCCCCTGTGCTGCTGCCCTCATGCATAACCATCATATCAGCCTACAGACACAGAGGACCAGTCCCAGGATCACTGTTTGGGCTGCACAGCAGCAGATAAAGAGAAAGAGCACTGAGGTATTTAACATGTCTCCCACAGTTGTATTCCAACCCCAGCCTTTAAATCACAGAATCCCAGCCTGGTTTGGGTTGAAGGGACGTTCAAGCTCCTCCAGCTCCAACCCCTGCCCGGGCAGGGGACCCTTCCACTAGAGCAGGTTGCTCAAAGCCCCTGTGTCCAACCTGGCCTTGAACACTGCCAGGGATGGGGCAGCCACAGCTTCTCTGGGCACCCTGTGCCAGCGCCTCAGCACCCTCCCAGGGAAGAGCTTCTGCCTCAGAGCTCATCTCAACCTCCCCTCTGGCAGGTTCAAGCCATTCCCCTTGGCCTGTCCCCACAAGCCCTTGTCCAAAGCCCCTCTCCAGGTTTCTACAATGCCTTTGCCCCACAGGAGCAATGGGGGATCTTCAGCTCCTTGGCTTTCTTTACACCCTCAGTTTCCTCTTTTGCTGTCCCTGTTCTCCCTCTCCCACCCTACTCGGTTCAGTTCCAGAGCACTTTTTCCCCTCATCCCAGGGTCAGTCAGCTCTTTGTTCCTACGTGACTTTCCTCTAAAGCAGTTTCTGAGGACCTGCACCAAGAGCTGCTCAAGAGCACAGCACCAACGTGAGCACAGCACCACTGTCTGCAGGCAGAGCTGGCTTTCAGGTCTGACCCTTTGGCCATGTGAAACCTCTGCTTATTTATCTCTGAGAGCAGATGAGGTCTCAGAGTGTGTCCATGTGTGTCTGGAACAAACCTTAGTCATTCTGTGCTCCTCATGTATGTGAAACAGATGAATTCCAGCTGACCGGAGACATAACAGTCTTCTTGGTGGTGAGAGCAGAGGATGTGCTGCTGTGACCAGCTGTTGAGCTGGTGCCTTTAAGATGCACTGAATTCAACTGCATTGGCAGAGAAGCCTGTTTGTAATATTTCTCTGGAAATCTCCCCCGTCTTCCCAGCCTCCTGTGGTTGAGCATCACAGCTAGTGCTCATGCTCCCGGGACAGTGAAGCTGCCCAGGAAAGCTGGTGGTTTCCTGTTGGTTTCCTAATGGCCTCAGGCAGACAAAGCACCGCTTCAAGTTCTCAGTCTTATTTGAACCTCTGAATTTCTTCCTTTCCATTTAACCTTTCTGGCAGCTGGAAAGCACAAATCCATTTTCCTCCCATCAGGGTGGTTTGGTTAATTGATCTGCAGGTTTAGCTGATAAAGAGCCCTGAAACATTATACATTTTGCCATACTTACACTAAAAGGGAAGGAATCAATACAGAGCCACATATAATGGGGCTGCTTCTCATCTCAGAGGGAGATGTTATCTCTTTGTTGTCTGATCACATTTGGTTCAGCACAAACATTGATCTTTCTCTGCCTTCATGTCCCCCTCCATCCCTCCTTCCCTCTCCTGTCCAGATGCTTCTGCCTTGCAGGACCAGCATGGCCAAGGCTGATCCTTCATTCTCAGGGCTGATCTCCAGGTCTCATCCCACCTCTCCTTCCCCAGCCAGGAGCTCCCTGGCCCCAGGCTCTCATCACAGTGGAAGATGTCCCTGCCCATGGCAGGGGCTTGGAACTGGATCAGCTTTAGGGTCCCTTCAACCCAAACAAGCCTGTGATTCTATGAAATGAATTCACACATCCTGTTTGTGCAGCAGTTGAGAGAATGAAGGAAATGTATAATTATTAACCAAGGTCAGTTCTTTGGGTGTTTTTTTTGTATCAAGGCATATACAAGATCAAAAGTAATATTTAGTAAAGCAATTCTCTCCCAGCACTTTCCCAGTATGCTGCTTTGTTGTTTCTGCCAAAGGCTCTTGTAAATCCTTTTTCTGATGCCCTCAAACACAGTCCTTGCAGAGGAAGAGCATCCCTGATCTGCCATCCTCCGGCAGCCCTCCCTGTACTTACCTGGTGACAGCAGAGGACAGGGGCTGGGAACCAGGATCAGCCTGTGGTGCTCAGTGCTGCGGGCAGGCACTGCACAGGGCTGGGGAGCTGCCTTTAACCCAGGCAGAGCAAACCCCACGGGTCTCACCCGGAGCACAGCGAGTTCTGTGCTCTTCAGGGGTGAGACACTGTGGGACTGGCTACAGGCAGGATTCCCTGTCTTAGGAAACACAGCAGAGTGTGACAAGGGGGTGAAGCAGTTTGGGTGGGAAAAAAAAAGAAAGAAATTGGGCAAAAATGCGTTTTCGGAAAATTTCTCCCTCTTGCCTTGCTCTGTGAAACCTCTGCAGTCTGGGACCTGGTGTTTTCTCCCCCTGGGTGCCCCCGTGCAGCAGATGATCCTTGAGGTCCTTCCAGCCTGGGATTCAACCCCCTCATCCACAGCGTAAGGACCAGACGGGTACAGAGAAGGATCCTGATTTCAGTGACAATTTCTGGTGACAGAACTGCCCTTGAATTGTACCCAGCTCCTGACTTCCCTTGGCTTGGATTGGTGATTTGGAGACAGGGAATGTGCTGCTCTGACTCTGCAGGCTCTCAGCCACTATCTCAACACAAATAACAATGTTTTATGACAGCAAATTGACAAGCAATCACACTCTATGCAACAAGCTCTAGTGCTGTCATAAAAGGTGACAGGAGCTCATCACGTTGATGGTTTTATGGATGTAGTCAGAGCCCTCCAGGAGTTAACACTGAGCTGGGACTTATTCCTTTCTTTGCAGTGCATCTCAGTGCATCCCAGGCAGGATGAAACAGAGACACTATAAAACACTTTCACCTACTATTCACTTTTTCTCTGTGTCTTCTTTTTCTGGCATTTATTCACTGCCTATAATTTAGGAAATTATCTCGGGGAGGAACAGATAAATGGCACTTTGTGGAAGCAGAAATTTCCAGCACAAATCTGATTAAGAGCTTCATTTCCTGAGTTAGGAACAAATTAACTTATTATCCACACACCACAAAGCAAACGGTATCTGTAACAGCAGCTCAAGATGGGGGGTGTGTACTGGGTGCGGATGGGAAGGGTTTGGTAGTACAGGGGCTGCAGGGGTGGCCAGGAGGGAGGCCAGGGCTGCTCTGTGCCAGACATGGATGGTTCCAGCTACATCAGTAACAGACCCATCATAGAACAGTTAGAGTTGGAGGGGACCTTAGAGATCATCCAGTTCCAACCTCCTGCACCAGGGCTGAGCCAGTTAGAGGTGTTTGTGGAAACATATTTAAGAAAGCGCAGAAAATGTCAGACTGAGACAGGAGTGAACAAACAGAGTGAGAAACAGCACAGGGAACATCAAGGTCAGAGTGATAGGAAGTGCTCCGTGGTGGTGGAAGCACTCCCACTGGGGACTTTGAAGGACCCGCACTGGAGCAGGCACATCCCAAAGGGACTGAAGCCCATGGAGAAGCCCATCACAGATAGATCCTGGAGGGATTGCAGTCCATGAAGGACCCACACTGGAGCAGGCACATCCCCAAAGGGACCACAGCCTATGGTTCAGCCCACGGAGGACTGGAAATGAGCAAGAAGGGAGGAGTAGCAGAGAGGAACTGCTTTGTATTGACCCTGACCTGCAACAACCATCCCTTTGCTGAGGGGACTGGGTGGAACCTGTGGTGATAACAAGGAAGGGAGAGGAGTCTGGAGTGAAGAAGTGACTGAGTGTGACTCCAATTCCCAAGGAGTCATCAGTTATAACTCCAACACTTATTAACTCCAGTTATAACTCAGATAAGCATAGAATCATAGAATGGTTTGAGTTGGAAAGGACCTTCAGGTCATCTAGTTCCAACCCCCCTGCCATGAGCAGGGACACCAGCACCTCTGCTATGGAAAAGGCTGAGAGAGATGGGCTTGTTCAGCCTGGAGAAGAGAATGATCCAAGGAGATCTTAGAGCAGCTTCCAGTACCTAAAGGGGCCAACAAGAAAGCTGGAGAGGGGCTTTGGTCAAGGGCCTGTAGGGGCAGGACAAGGGGGAATGGCTTTAAACTGACAGAGGGGAGACTGAGATGAGATCTCATCCTTGTAGCCCCCTTCAGACACTGAAGCTGCTCTGAGGTCTCCAGCAGCTTCTCTTCTCCAGGCTGAATAGCCCCAACTTTCTCAGCCTGTCTTCATACGGGAGGTGCTCCAGCCCCCTTATCATCCTCGTGGCCTCCTCTGGACTTGCTCCAACAACTTCATGTCCTTTTTAGGTTGAAGACACCAGAACTGTACACAGTGCTGCAAGTGGGGTCTCCCCAGAGCAGAGAGGCAGAATCACCTCCTTCGACCTGATGGTCATGCTTCTTTTGATGCAGCCCAAGATACTCAGCATCACAAAGCTGCCCCAAAATCCCCCATCTCTACTGCTCTGGGTATAGTGGTTTCATAAAGAGCTTCATACCAACAGAGTTCACATCCTTCCCAGCACGCCCAGCAGCTCAGCTCCCTGCTCAGCTAAAGTGGCAACCTCCCACAAGCGTAAAAAATCACTATTTATTCCTTCTCCTTGGCCATGGTGTCTGGGCTGGAGGAAGAGCTGCTGAGAACAGCCTGGGGGGAGCAAGCAGAGACCCAGTGTGGGCAATGATCCACCCATAAAACATGAGTTGCTGGACGTGGGGATTTCTTATCTGTGGGGCTCTGATTGCAAAAGCCACGTCAGAGATGCAACAGCCACAGATATACTGGTAAAATAGCCCAGACTTTGTTCTTGTGGCACATAAATTCATTAGACCCTCCTTTTGTTAGAGCCCACATTTATAGACATGCCAGCTGTGCCACAGAACACGCTTTGTATTCTGAGACCTGGCGGAAATAACAAGGTAGATAGATTAATTCAGCAGAAATGTTGCGGATTTCAT